GATGGAGGTTACTTGCGTGTTCGGTCTTTTCAGCGCGCAGAGTTATTCAATTTAGATTTAACTCAAATCTGACTCCATTTTATTATCTAATCTGACTCCATTTTAGTATGACCTCGAATTTAGGTTGAAAGGCAAATTGGTTGTTTGTCGGTCTCTAATTATTCGGACATTTGATTATTCTAGTTAACTCTTTACTTATATTTACTCGTTCATTAGGAATCTACGTCGCTTAAACTCGCCAGTTTGATCCTTATTCAGAGGTTCGTGGCTAATACTATTTAATATGTTTTAAATAGTAGGTCTGTTTAGCCCCCTACAGTTACCCATGTAATACTCAAGCATTAATCAGCAGTTCTTCTAGAACCCCTTGTCTAGACCCCGATAGTTAGTATAACTACGTACAACTTAATTAACACTCCAAGCATTAATCAGCAGTTCTTCTAGAACCCCTTGTCTAGACCCCAATAGTTAGTATAACTACGTACAACTTAATTAACTCTGAAATCATATACATGGTTAACGTAACTGAGTACAACTTAAACTAAGGTCAAGCGGTTAGTCAGAAACCCATGATCTCACCTGATGCACCCCATGCTTCATCTAAACCTGAGATCTAGTATGTACGTAACCCTGGTCGCAGATTTGCGGATACGCATTCACTTAATCTACTTGAGGAAATAATTTCAGAGTAAGTCCGAATACATCAAATGTAACAATTTATTAATCAGTCAGGTAAATATGTATTATGCCAATTATCTAATACATATAATACATAGATATCAAATCAATACAAGACATCAAATTCTCAAAGACGAATCTAAGAGTAAAATGCATACCTGACCTTTTAGAAAAATACATAGTGTGAAGTGTGTGGACACACTTAATACTACGGGCTCTCTGACTACTGAATCGTCCTGATCCTTTTGGAAAAATACATAGTACAGAGTGTGTGGAGACACTCCATACTACGGGCTCTCTGACTACAGAATCGCCCTGATCCTTTTGCTGCAATCCTTTAAATACAAAACCAAGATTAAAACATTTACATTTACATTTAACCCAGGTCCCAGACCAGGGTGGTCTACACCTTAATGGGAACAGAAAATAATTAGCATGGAATGACCCTCTACAGTAATCAAAGTATCTCTTAACTCTTAGGATCTGTATTATCTTTTAGTCTACTTTTGTAAGATTAAGACCATTGTACCACTCGCCCTGAAACTATTCAAATGAAACCAAACATGACTGTAAATCTTATTTGCATTCATATAGAACATTATGTTCTACCATTCTGAGTGAATAAAGTGGAGGGGGGAGATGAAAAGGCACGGATGCATATGTGAGAGAGGCGTTTCCTGCACCGCCACTCTGTGGGGTTTCTCCAAGTTGGCCGTGTAAGTTTGTGTTGTCTGTTTCTCAGGAGATCAAAGTATCTGAGTTTCGGAACTGATGCATATGTGAGAGACGTTTTCCCACATTTTCTCTCAGTGAGATGTGGAAACAGATGTCTGTATGTTAATGCACTGTGTGTGTATTGTCTGTCTTAGAAGATCAAAGTGTCTGAGGTTCTGTAATTCTTACAGTGTAGTAGCCTCCGTGTCTCTGATAAGCTCGGAAGTCGGAACTTTAAATTGGTGCACCAAACGTTGATTTCATTTTGCACAAGTTGCAACAGTTCCGTTCCGTGAACACGGTGTTCCGTGAACAGATACACACTGTGTTGCGGAACCTTTGCGATTAATTAACCGTGACGATTTAAAGCATGGTTAAGAGTGCAATCGGTTAATCGTTCCATTGAACCATTGAGCATCAACATGCATAAATCTCATTCTATCAGCAGCAGTTTGTGGCAGTGCTTGTCATTATATCTCCTCTCCTGCTCTGAGACCAGAGTCAGTAACAAACTACAGACACTTCAACTACAATTCACATTCTGTCATTGTTCTCTACAGGTTGAGGGATTGTGGCGTCACAGATGAAGGTTGTGCTGCTCTGGCTTCAGCTCTGAGATCAAACCCCTCACACCTGAGAGAACTGTATCTGTCTGTGAATAATCTAGGAAAATCAGGAGTGAAGTTACTCTCTGATCTGAAAGATGATCCACGTTATAAACTGGAGACAATATACCATTGTGAGTATCTTATTATTTAAATATTTTAAAATGGCCAAAGTTTAGCAACATGCCTCATATGTGTGTAATTGAATATACGGTAATAATAAGTCAGCTCCACTTAAGTCTCTGTACTTTAAACTGTTTAATTCTGTGATGATCTATGAATATATGAATATTTTCATCTCTTCCACTGTCTCAGGGTGTAAATGATGAAGAGAGAGTTGTTGATCATTCACTGTTATTAATCTATGATCAGTTGTTCATTCATATCTCTGGCTGTAATATGAATATACTGTGTTTTTTCTGAAATGGAGCTGCTGATGTGATGTGACGGCAGTAATGTCTCATACTCATATGTGACTGTCTGTGTGTTTTATTGTAGGACTCTCAGTATTTAGACGTCAGTCCAGTTTCCTCAG